TGTTCTTTTCGAAATGATTAGAACACTGGTGGTAATCGGTTCTACTCTAAAATCCTGACTGCCAAAATCTTGATAACCCACAATCGCGAATACATAATCCTGACACCGACAGAATCCTAACAAGTCAATATCTCGACAAACAAAATCCTGACAGACAAAATCCTTATAAACAAAATCCCGATAAACAAAATTCTTGACACTCAAAATCCCGAAAGATGAAAATCTCGACTGACAAAATCCTGACAAAATCCAACAGACAAAATTTTGACATGACAAAATTTTGTCTGTTGGGATTTTGTTAGGATTTTGTCTGTCAAGATTTTGTCTGTTGAGACTTTTACCTGTTTGGATTCTTGTTTGTCAGGAATTTTTCTGTCAAGATTTTGCCTGTCAGAATTTTGTTTGCCAGGATTCAAGATTTGTTTGCCGGGATTTTTTTGTCAAGATTTTGACTTGTCAGGATTCTGTCTGTGTAAAAATTATGTATTCGGGATTGGGTTATCAGGATTTTGTTAAATAGAACCGATCGTCAGGCATAAGCGAAAATTTCGTTCTCTTCTACAGACATTATTATTAATGAGACGTGCAGAATTTGCCCATCTCTAGTTTTCACTTCACAAATTTCTCACTTGGCATCACTCATAGAATTCACACGCAAAATTAATATGACTTTCTTTTATAATAAAATTCCTTAGAGCAAATAAGAATTTTACCTTGGGTTATTTCTTGGCCTAATCAAAATGGTCAAACATAATGAGCTTAAAAACAATATTTAATTAAACAGTTAAAAAAATTCTAGCTACCTCTTGCCAGTTGATTTGTAAGTTGTCTAAGCTTTTGAATTACTTGCTCTGTCGCTAGTTTCTCATCTCTCAATGCTAAGATGGTTGAATGGATTGGTTCTGAAATTGGAGTGGTTTGCTCCAATTTTGAAATGATGTTTTGAAATGCTACGATTGTTTGTTCATGCCTTGAAATGCTTATTTCCAACATTCGAGACATTTTACATCCTGGACAAAGGCCAATAGCTTCGCTTTTTCCGAATTTCTTCTTGCATACAACGCAGTGAGGTGTAGGAATAATACATTCTACTTTCCTATCTAAGCACATCTTGCAGTAAGTCAATTTCGGTTCATATTCATTATCATCAAATTTTACTTTTACGCCTTCACATTTTCTCTTTGCATTTCTGCAATATATGCATGCATATATTTTCTCTTGAGGTTCCATTTCAACTTTTCGTGTCTAAAGAAATTGCCGTATAAGTTTTTTTTTTTTTTACAAAAACAAAGGTAATATTTAAATTAATATTTTAATGTATAAATTCCACATAAAATATATTTTAGATTCGTAATAAATTCAACAGTGAATTTTTTCTTCGCATAACGTACTTATCCGTATAATATGTATTAGTGATCTGCGGATACCAGTAAAAATTTTAAAAATTTGGATATGGTTTATAGAAATTTTGAATTATAAATAATATACAAATTTGCTGGTATTTAGTAATCGGTAAGTTAAAATGATGCCGGTCATTAACTATTGGCTAAAAACTAGAAATAATCTAAATCCAATGACGTAATCTGCAGAATCTTTATAAATCATGTTTAATATGCGGTAACACCAGCATTTGTGTTTCATAGGAGATTTTGAAAAATACCGCATGTCATTTTATTGGTCTTTCTTTAAATAACATTATAAATTCACAATTTTCAAAAAAAAAGAAAATACTATCAGGATATATAACAAAATCAATAATATTATGCAGTTAGTGGCAATATGTGTAAAAAATAAAAATTAGCATGAACTAAATTAAATATAATGAATTAATTAAGAATAAATCAGAGATTATGCCATCAACAATATAGTGTAATGTACCTTAAATCTGAAGCAATTTTGAAAATTCTTTGGGTTTTTTTCAAGTATAAAATTCTTAACTTTATAAGAATTGAAGTAAGTATTAAAATTCTTTGAATATAAAAAGATTTTTGTATGATTTCTGAGTAGATTAATAGCTCGGATAATTTTATTTATACAGTTTTGAAGGACATGCCTTGCTGAAAAAAATAAACCAATTTCTAGCTAAGAAAAAATTAATATCCACTATGTAAAATAATCCAAAAAGCTAATATAATACATTTAAAAGAAAAACCTACAGTTTTTTTTTGCTACATTAGGCGATTTTTTAAACTACCCTAAATTTATGGCGTAGTTGGGAAGATGATAATTTATTAGTTTATTGTTTTGGGTTCAGATTATTAAATGCGTCATATGTTGGACGTATATATCATGTAATAATCAAATAGTAATTCGGGGTTTTCAACTTTTGCCCAATTCTAAAAATACGCCCAAACCTTTATTAGATATAATATCAGAAACGATCAACTAATATGGATGAATGTGACATGATGCATATAAGTTTTAAAATTGTAGAAAACATAATAACAACAACAACAATGATAAACTTACTAATTTTATACCTTGCAAACTAAAGAATTAAGCGCTAGGTAAATAGGCGCAAATGTAGTTAGGCTGACGTTAAGTAAAGATCGATAAATATTGAGGTCGTCTAAAGCCTTGTAACATTTAAAATATACAGTCGCGCCCTCATATACAGTAAGCACCTCCTATATAAGCATAATATAAAAAAATTTTTTTATAAGCATATTTATTTTTTGATCCAACTACAATTAATTAATAAGACAATTATCTATACAAGCATATCCTCTACCTAGGAACTTTTTTTTTTTATAAAATTTCTAAGGGTTCCGATGGTGTAATTATAGTGAGTGTGACTGTAATATAAAGGGTAGTAGCAATAAATCAGATTTTATTGGTTAATAATCATATTTTGATCAACAAAATTAGCCAATCCTATGAAAGTTTTTTATGCAAGTGGAGAACACAATTTTTACCGCATGTGTAACATAAGAGTATCAACATAAAATTGCTTAACGTTAATCACCTGGATGATTGCCCGGATGATCACTCAGAAAATTAAGCAACGAAAGGTTTTATCGATTAAATAAATAAATAACATATATATTATATGCACAATGACTCTGGATGTAACTAACTTTATACATGGGTGCCTAAATTGCCCATCTTAATAAAAAAGTAATTACGGCATTTAGGCAGCCGAAATTAGTCTTATATAGTGCCGAAATTAATTTTCATATTTGCCGAAATTATTGCCGAAATTTTTTGAACTCTTTTCATCAAAATACATCATATAATATAGTTATTTCGAAGGGCTTCATATAAAAATTTAGCAATGCTGCAATGTTTGCCGAAAATACGATTTTTCAAAAATAATTTAGGCACCCATGTATAACTAACTTAAACCTTGGAATTTCACAATAGCTCGGTATAAAAGTAGTGACTTGAATCAGTTAAGCTATAATCGGTTAACCGGCCCGAACCGAATAAATTTCGGGTAACCGGTTGAGGAAATTCTTAATCGGTTGACCCGGTACAATCGGCTGGCGGGATCTGAAAATACAAAATGATGTAATAAGGAGAGAGTAAATGTTCCGAAAAGTTCCGAAAATAAATTAACAAACTAAAATTAGAGTAAACTCCGAGAATTTCCGAAGGTAGTAGAGCATTAATCTTAACCGGTTGGCAACGGTTGAATGAAAATAATTCGGTTCGGTTAATCGATTAAGGAAAATTTTCTCGGTTCAAATACTACTTTCGACATTCTAAAAACAATTTTTAATCGCTAATTTTATTTATTTTTGACGTTATTTTTTGTCAAATGAATTATAAGTTTTTAACTTAAATGCTGCAGGACAATTCGTGTTTCTAGTTTTCAAACTTTTGTG